TGGCTGGGGAATTCTGGGAGTTGAAGTCCACACAACTTCAAGCTGCCAAGGTTGAGAAACATTGCTCTACATAGTGTGCTGATGTGCTCTAAGCTGGATCTAAGTCTCCATCAAGCAAGAAGGGCTGGATGTTTGAATACCCATGTAAATATACCCTTCATAGGTGCTTCCTTTTCCAATTCCAGGTGTATGTTCGAAGAGCATACATTGCCTATGAGCTGAACAGCGTCCAACATCGTCAACTGAAAGACAACACGTGTGTAGTGGAATTCCAGTTTATGCTCCCTACTTCACATCCAAACAGGTGAGGCTTTCATGCAGGTATTTCTCAGGGATTTGGAAGAAGGAGGAAAGGGGAGTTTGAAAGGGTGGGTTTCACACTGGGGGTGTGGGGCTGGGGAGCAATAGTTTTAAGCCTGTCTGTTCTCTTGTGTTGTGGACCACATGGCTAAAAACATTGGGTTAGATGTGGCATTATTCTTGGTTGAGAACAGCCACCCTGTGCAAATGGTTTCTGAATTGTCTATTTTATTTGTTTATTTGAATTTATAAGCCGCCTAATTGCAGTGGATCCTGTTATCTGTGAAAGGCTGTTTATGTACAACCACAGTGCACAGAACAGGGGGTCTTTCCCCGTGATGGGACAAACACATCCTTCTGCTATGGCTTTCAATACTAGGCCAATTTGGGGGGCAGGCGAAATCTGGAAGTTGGTCCTTGGCAGCAGAAACCCTGGGATAGCTTAGATTTCATTAGTGATGGTTTGCAATTGCCTTTTCCAATGATCCACCTAGGATGCTAAGGGTCTGCGTCAAGGGGCATCAGGTTTATGGCGAAACTCTTCCTCCTAAAAAAAGAAAAAAGAAAAGAAAAGATAAAGACAAAATAATAGAAATTCTAGGCTCTCAACAAATTCCCAAGCTTTGGCATCTTCCCAGCTTTGCTACTTCAACAAAGCCTTCCAGGAAAACCTTTGTCTATTGAAGCACAGTGTATATGACAAACTGACAAGCCGTAAGACAGAAGGTGAAATTAGGTTTCTTCCTGGAGACTTCCTAGGCTGGATAGGGGAGGAATAAGGAGGACTGGTTGTGTCACTCGTTCTGGTTCCCCTAAAGAAGTGGACAAGTTTATTTTTATAAGCAGCAATATTTTAATGTGTGATTCTTAAGCCACATATTGGGGAAAGCTTTTTTTTTCCCCTAGTGCTCTCTCTGCCCCTTTGAAAAATTGGCTCCTTGAAGATAAACCCTTCAAATTGGCCTATTCCTGAGGTGCTAGCTTTCTATTTTCAGGGAGATTGTTTTGTGAGCATTACGATCTGATTCCACCTGCCTGCAATCTGAAGGGGTGCGGTCTTTCCCATCACCTCACCATGCCCCTTCATTCAGCTTCATTGGCACGTACAGAGCTGAGATTCGGTCTCTGCAAACAGGGACAGATTTTCCTTAGGTCTTTGCAGATAGCAATTGGAACATTCCACCGATTCTGATATAGCCATCTCTTTGCATTTCTGTATGAGCACCTGTTTCCTTCTTCCCTTCTTACATTTGGAGGCATACTTGGTTAAACCTGGAGTGTGAGCTCCTTCTGAGAACATCAGCCCTTCAAAGTAGATCAGACTAGGAACCCGGTCACGCAGGCTAATACTACTTTTATTATAAGATTATGGTAATAAAATCTTGCAAGTCTGAATGTGCTCCCCTCCTCTCTCCCTTTATCTTCGTGAGAACTAGGGAGGCTCTTGCCTTAGTCACTTTCTCAGATTACATTTCTGGCCCAGACTCAGATTTCTTTTATCAGACGTTTGTCTCGGTTGTGGCTCTTCCTCCTGTTCCTCAAGGTTATTCCTTCTGTCCATTACATTGAAAAAATACTTAACCCTTTTGCATACTAAAACTCCTAATCTTAAGCTAAAAAATAAAGCATTCACTTCTGCTGTCAGTAAATGGGAAAGTAACTAATACAGGTTTGGGGTGGTGCAGAAGAGTGTTGAGATGACCTTGAAGAAGAAATTCAACTTCCAGTATGTAAATGCTAGCTTAGCCCTGACAGGGAAGAGGGAATAAGAAAGAAACTCAAGATTGCCATGCCTTGATTTTCCTTGGTATAAGGGGAAGGAGAGGAACCTCTATCAGGCTTTCCACTTTTATACCCTTTAACAAGAGTAGAGTTCCAGCAGTTCTTCCGACCTGGAGTACCTGGAAGGGCTGGAAAAGTTTGGATTTCTGTTTAGGAGCAGCGTAGAGCATGTAACTGTCTTGCTTGCTTGTAGCCACTGGATGTCGCTGTTGATCCACCACCAGGTAACCCACACATGGGAATCAACCACCCCTCTTGGAAGCCATAGCGTTCGCCTCTTCCTTTGTTTCCCAAATATCCTTTGCCTTTTATTCCATCCTCCTCCTCGTTTAATGTTTGGTAGAATTGGTTGAGGGGGCCTGGTCTCGGTTCATTGAGAATCCATCAGTACATCTCATGAAATGGGTTTTTTTTTTTTCCTTCTTCCCCTTTCCTCCTCCTCTTTTCAAAATCTGGTTTTGCTTGAAATGAATGAGTCCTCAAAGCTCAGCTGCACAAAGATCTCTCTGCAGTGATATAAATGGGCCATTGAATTTGGTCTCATCTGTTCTCTTCATCTCAACAATATTTGCAAATAATTGCATGCTATTTTGGAGGTCCGTCAGCAACCCAACTACGCACTCTTCATTTCCCCCCCTTCCCATCCATTGATATCATTCCTCTCTCTCACTTTACCTCCCCCCATCCCCCCCCCCCTTTGGCATAGCTTTTGAGAGATGCTTTGATGTTCCTTAGCATCAGTATTGTTGTGCAAAGCTAAGTTGGAAAATCAGGTCCTATTGGCTATCAGCCTGTAGGATTGGATCCAGCGTTCGCTAAACCCATGGGAGAGATGAGTCGCCTTAATTCCTTTTGAAAATAATCTGTTGGGGGCCTTATAGCCGTGGTAAGTGGGGCTTAAACATTGGCTAGGATGGAATCCAAAGTGGGTGGGATCACCCATACCCTTCTCTCTGACATCGGGTACAGCTGGATCTTGCTGAAGCTCTGAATTGATGTCTTACAGAGGGCTTTTGAAATTAGTCTGAAGTCTGCATGTAGTCCTCAGGCTTCAAGGTGCCCACTTCTGGAACAGACGGAAAAGCAGGCGTGCCAAAGACCACATTAAAATCTTTGCCCTGTTCTTCTTCTAGAAAATTCTCTGTTGAACTCAGGTGCCAGAGCTGCGTTCACCCCAACTTTGAGAAATTAAGAACGCATCAAGAAATGCTAAATGATGCAAACGAGGCTCGTTTGCAAAATTTCTCTTAGGCTGAATCATTCTGGTTTGCAAGCCCCTGGAGGAGACACGGTGGCCCACAGCTCAGCCCTGACTGCTAGAAACTGTCTTGACGTTTTTCACACTGGTGCCTAGAAATCTTACCTTCTCTCCATCTCTACCATTTTTACCACTGTTCTATAGACCTCTGGAGCTGTGGATTTTTTTAAAAGGGGAGAGAAAATAAATGCTGGGAGACTGAAAACTCAGAATGTTGAACAAACTGTTATTCGGGGAATGATGCCTATCCAGTACTTCTAGTGAGGTGGTGTTAAGTGTGTGTTGCTGTTTTTTTTTAATGGAAGTTTGAAGAAGCTTTTCTCCCTCCTCAGCACCATAATAAACTGCTTTATTATAAAGGTTAGCTTTCTGCTAACTTAGACCTCCTCCCCACACCCTTCTCGGCTCCTGCAGCGACTGCCTGTGGAGATCTCCCTTGTGACATGCAAATGTTTGGTGAAATAGAGATATCTTAGTGGGCTTAAGTTGCTAGTGAAACAACTTTTTCTCCATCAATCATGTGGCGTTTGATAGGAAATCAGGCAGGGGACCCTGTGATTTGGGAGCCACCATAAAAACCTGGAGAGATGTGTGAAGAATTCTTGGGAATGTATTATTAGGACAGGCTGGGCTGTTAAGAGGTGAGATGGGGTGGGAAACACCAGATGTTACAGGGGGAAAAGCCCCTCCAGGGAGACCTATAAATCCCTGTAGTTTTGTGCTTTGGGTTTGATGTTAATTAAGCAGCAGGGTAGCAGGAATTTGTCCCTGGCTTCCTCAGGCTGTTGGAGAGAGGGAAGCATTTTCGAAGGGGAGGAAGGGGCAATTGAAAAGAAGAACAGCCTGTAGATTGGAGCCAGGAGGATGGGATTTTGAAAATTGGGATGCAACGTGATGGATTCAAGGGAGAAGCAAGGAGAAGAGCAATGTAAAAGCGAAATAGAAATATTATTTATTTACTATTTCAATTTATATGGCTGTCCCTCTCCAGTTCATGACTCTTGGGGAGCTAACAGGGTTATGGAAGAGCCTGTTTTTTGACTTTGTGGACAGTTATTTTATGATATACGGCTGCTGTGTGTTTTTATTTCATCTTGTGTATTTTATTTGTTTTTATCTATTTTATTGTAAGCCGCCCAGAGTCACAGATGTGAGATGGGTGCCTTTATAAATCAAATCAATAAATAAAAAATATAAAAGCAAGAAAAACAAGAACGACACACATAAAATAGCAGCCGGGGTGAAAACAGATCCATCAGTTACAAGTCAACATAACCAGTGCATACAATAATGCATACAGATATAAGGGGATTCTCTCCTCAGTTTGGGGGGGTCCCCAGAGCCATGCAAAGATGGGCTCCAGGAACCTGGCAGGCTACCCTGGAGTCCCCCCTTCCTACCCCCCCAATTCAGCAGAGCAACTCTGGAGGTGTACTTTTCTATTTTGTTTTAAAATGTATTAGCAACCTTTTGCAGTTCCTTGTGCTGAGACCCAATGCAATTCCCATGTGGATTGTATAACAAACACCTTTATTTATTTATTTTTTTAAATGTTCCTTTTTGGCAATATTCTTTTGCCGGTGTGTGTATGATTTTTTTTTTTTAATTATCTTTATCTCACTTGCCTGATCTGAGGGCTCCTTGAGATACTTGACACCATTTATAACACGGTCTTACAAGTATTGCAATAAAATTATCCCCGATATAAAATAGGCTGGTGTGACAGAAAAAATAAAGAAATCTTCAGATTTAAATATTATCTTCCTAGAAAGTTCTGCCTGGGTTTGTCACTATTATTATTTTTATAATTTTTGCAATAATCATAGTTTTCTAGATGGATTCAAGTAGAATGATAACACTTATAAAAGTTTCTAAAACGATTAAACCTTTCTAAAAATATGACAAGTTGAAACTCAAAAAGAAAAAAACATATTAAACTTTATAGGTAATCCTTGCTTAACAACTACAATAGGGACTGGAAAATTCGTTGTTAAGCAGGGCAGTTGTTAAGTGAGTTGCACCTGATTTTCTGACCTTTTTTGCAGCAGTCATTAAGCGAATCAAATCATGTGGTCATTAAGCGAATCATGCAGTTCCCCATTGATTTTGCTTACTGGAAGCCAGCTGGGAAGGTCGTAAATGGCAGTCACGTGACCTCCGGGACACTGCAATTGTAAGGGCGACTTGGTTGCCAAGCTCCTGGATTGTGATCACATGATTGTAGGGGTGCTGTGATGGTTGTAAGTGCGAGGACCAGCTGTAAGTCCCTTTGTTCAGCACTGTTGTAACTTCGAACAGTCACTAAATGAATGGTTGTTAAGTGAGGACTACCTGTACTGTTTAATTTAACTTTACTATGCAATTAATAGATTGGTAGCACAGAATAGCTTAACATGGCCCTTTCCAATCTTGAAACTGGTGCCAAACTTGAACTTTCTGCAGACAGAGTGTGTGGGTTTTGAACAACTGCCCCTCGTATTGTACAATTTTATCATTTTTTTTTCTTTTTTACATTCAGAGTCTCTCTATCTACACCACTCTTCTGTGACTTTAGCCGTTTCCCAAAAGATAATTTGTAGCTTACATTTCTGGCTCGGGGCTGACCTGGTTCTTTTCAGAAAAGGATCTGAGACCCAATCATTGCTTTCTTAAAATGTGCTATATTCTAACACTTGAAAGAAGAGGATGTGACGTAATGCCTCTCTCTTGAGTCCTGTTGACAGTTTGGCACGAACACGCTTAATTAGCTTATTGATGGGGGAATTTTGGGCCAGACCTGTAGGGTTTGCAGACCAACTGCAGATGACAGTCCCCCTTCCAGACCGCCTTCAAGGTAGTTCAGGGAAGAAGGAAATTCTTAATCTTTGTGAATGGATGTTGCTCATGGCTTGATGGAACGGCACGTTTGATACCTGGAGGAGCATTTTTGCCTTCTCTTTGACTTGGGACTCTGGAAAGACATCTCTCTCTTCCTTTCCTCCGTAAGCATATTCTCTGCCTTGCAACTCAGGACAGGGAGCAAATCTTGGCTGAACCTGATGCTTGAGCAGCGTGAGTCACAACTGGACGTGCTCTGGAGACTGTGTGCTCCGACCCGGTAGCCTCCCGATCACCAATTTTTTCCCTGCTGCTGGTTCTCCTGAAAAGATTATCCATTTGCTGTCGTGCCCATGTTGCAAACACTACCCAAATGATATCCTCCTGTTGTGGGGTGATGAGATGAGTTCATTATTTTAAACTTACACATCAGAGCAGGAAAAGCAATGGAGGCACATGCCCGTTTAACAGGGAGGCCTGGAAAGAACCAAAGGTGTTGGCAACTAGGACTTTCTGATTGAAAGAGATCTTTGAGCTGTATTGGTGGGTGTGTTTCCATTTTGTTATGCCTCCATTTGCCTTTTGATGTTGTCCAGGTTTTGGATTTTGTTTCGCCTTCTCAAAAAGCTAGCTGGGTATTCTAACAGCAACAGAGGGCATCTTGTGGCAAACAGATCTAATGCCATGTAGTCCTATCTTCCCCCATCTAGTGCCTTCTGCTTATATTGGGATCACAAGTCCCATACTTCCCAACAGCCATGCTGGCTGAGAATTCTTGGAGTTGTAGCCCCAGTATTTTGGGAGATACTTAGACTGGGGAAATCTGGTGTAAAGTTTCATGGTCTACCATCTATTTTATCAGTCGCAGAAGCTTTATCCCGAACTGGGAGGTATTTCTGGTCATATGTATTGTTGCAGGAAAAGGATAGTCTTTTCCTGCAAATATATTCTCACAGGCAAAATAAGAATCACAAAATTAATTTACAAAAAAAAAAAATCACATTCGTCTGGTTTTAACACAACTTCTAAACATCGAGAGCATTGTGCACTCTGCGGTGAGAACATCATCATCCTGGTGATTGGGCGAGACTGCACATCTTTGTGACTGATGGTCATACTTTTCCTTTGAGTGGCATGCTCCAGAAAGCAAACCTGGTTAGAATAAAAAGGCGGGCAGAGATAGGACTAAAACCATATTTAATTTAGATTTAAATCCAACTAATTAAAGGCAAGCTACTTTATTCTATGTGTATTTAATCATTTTCTGCTTTCCGTCACATTAAAAATTACAGCAAAGTCTTGGGGCACCTTAAAGACTTGCATTTATTATTGCATATTACAATTTGATGACTGCTTTGGGACCTATATGGAGGCTCTCTGTTTTTCACTGCAAGATCAGGCATTATAACAGAGACCAGTCACAGGGACTACACTGTGCAGTGAACTCAAAGAGATCAATTGTATCTAAACTAAAACTAATTTTGATTGCATTAAGTAGCTATTTTGGCTATCCTCCATATGTTCATAAAGAAAAGTAATGTGATTGGGGAATGAGAATGATCATAGTTCCCCCATTCCAAAAATTAAAAATGATATTTTGATAGCAACTTTTGGAGCAGTTCTCTGTGTCATGTGAAGGATGATCAAGGCTTATGGATGCCTATTGCAAGCAAATATAAAAGAAAACATGGGTAGGCCAAGGGAAGCTTTTATTTTGAACAATGCTCCCATTAGATTTGGCTCCTTGAAAATATGGTTCAGTATTTTATATGACACAGTCCATATAACCGGATGGATCCATCCTTTTCATTCAAGGCAGTAAAATGAACCAGTTGAAATATCATCTCAAAAGTTCCTTCAGGGATTTTAGGCTTCCCCACACGCTCCTGTTGACTGGTCATTGACTTCACTGGATGAAAAAAACCTTGGATGTTGAATACCATGAGAAAGATATACATGTGTGAGTGCTTAAAGGAATATTTCAGGAATATTCTGCCTCTTGGAATCTTAAACAAGTCAAGATGGTTGTTCTTCACTGTAAACAACCTATGGATGATTATTGAGAAGTAAGAGCAGTAGAATTTAATTCCAGGTAAATTGTATAGATGTGCAGCCTGGGAATCCTACTTTATACACACAAACACACAGCATTTTAACAATTTAGCTTCTATCCTTCCTAAATCACAAAATGCAGGTGAAAAAGATAACATTAGTCCATGTGCTCAGTGAATAATTTATTCTTCCTGCTCCCCACCCCCCAGAGAACCTATGAAATAACCAGTTAAATTTAAGTTGGGCTCTGGTTGTCCTTTTGCCCATGAATGAATGTTCCCATATTCCATTTTATTCTTGCTTGTATACAGCAGTTGATAATATATATGATCACCGTTTAGCCAAACTTAAGCACATGTTGAATCCTATAAATTCCAGCAGGTGAGAAATAACGTCACTGTTGTCACTTCCAAGAAGGTATACATGTGCATCAAATTCAGGACAACATCTGTCTAATATGTGTGGGACTCCACTGATGAGCTCAAATATAGTTTTTCTGATTGGGCATGAAGGTGTTAGATTTTGGGTCATGCAAGTTCACTTCAGTCTATCAACCTATTTATATCTCCCTGCTTTGTTTAATGGTATCAGCCTGCCACCATCTACTGAGTCCTATCTAGTCTACTGAGAATCTTATCATTATAACACATTTTAAGATGGTGGCCGATTCCAGAATTGTACCCGGGGCTTAAATTTGCTGAGCATCTACTCCCTTCAACAGCTCCTTCTCTTCTAAACTCTGGAATATTTGGGCCACCAAATGGTGACTGGTACATAGTAAAATTTAACCTCTTGACGTGCATCTGTTGATCCTGGCTAAAAAATCAGTGGATGAATATAGTTAAATAATGTATCTGGCTGTGAGATTAAGTAGTGATGTTGGTTGGGCTTGGGGAAGTGGCATCGTTCTCCATGGCCATAGACTCACTTCTTTTTCTTTTATGATGATGGTTGTTTTGTTGTGGTATGGTATATGAAATTCAGTGCGTTCTGATATTCCCTTCAAAGTGACGTCCGTTGGAACACGCACCTAGTCAGCGTGCTCTTTTCGGCTGAAATATAATTACACTGAGATAAGGAAGAGGAAATAGATCCAGAGATGGTGTAGAAAGTTAAATTTGCTTTGTTCAGGGTCCTGAAACATTCTCCCCCACCCCCCAAATAAAAGTACGGGGGATTCAGTGCAGACAGTGGTCCCGTTGTCTTCATAATGCACTTTTGTGCTACATCTATAACCTTACGTAGAGTTACGGGGCCTTGCTCCTCATCTTCCAAAGCTGGTTTTCAGTTACTTCTGTTTTAACACTGAAAGGGGAAGATGTCCTATAGCACAAAGCTTGATAGTATACCCCATGAATTTCAGTATAACTTATTTCTGAGTAAGTGGCTGTACAATTGCAATGTTAATAAATGTATAAAGGATAGTTTGCTAACCCATTTTTTTCCCCCACAAGAATTAAATGCAGCTAACTTTGTATAATGTTTATATGCAATGGTCTTGAGGAAGAGCTTCATAGTTTAAAGTGTGTCAAGCCTTTCGAGAGAAAGAAAATCGTTTTCCAAAGCACCTTTTTGGATTGATTTTTTTTCATGTTTCATGGTATTGGATGGGTGAGCCCTTATTCTTGGGCCCTATAGATGCTTGTTTCTATCTTATTTCTTGAGCCCTATAGATGCTGCCAGAAAATAAGTATGTTTACATTTTTTCACTTCTACAAATGTAATCTTACAGCTTCTGCTTTGAACACTGGCTTGAATGACAGATCTGATTTTTTAAATTATTGATTTATTCATTTTAATGATGGCTTCCACTAACCAATCTGTAACTAACTGTGGTTGTTTAATTACAGAGGGAACATTCCCACGCTCAACAGGTACAGTAATTCTCCTTTTTAGCTCTTTTAAAAAGTAGCTAGTTGTCAGAAGAATGTGTAGTTTTAACACATTTTTTTTAAAGAACTGGGTTTTAACCACCTAACCTTTTCATTTGCAGTGTTTGCTTTTATGTTTTCCTCTGTCCCTCTTTGAATTTGTTCTTCTTTTGTGTTTGTTCTTCTCTTTACACTTTCTTTTGGCACGCTACAAAAATTAACCTCACTAGCACTCAGGTTTATCTTACCTGCTTTAAAAAATTGTTCCAGATCTTGGAGCAAAAACTGTTTCCTTTCTCCGTTTCTCATCTTTTACCTTTGGTAGCAAAGATGGGCTCCAGCTGGCCAACTGTCCAATTGGGATTTAAAGCAGAATGGGTACTCCACGTGGTTTTCAAAAAAAGATATTGGGGGGGAAAAATCATTTTCCAGGTTTTCTGGACATTTACCCATGTCACAAATTTGTGAATGTCAAATTTTCCAGCTGGGGAATGTTCTGAATGCAAGAGCCTTTACCTTTTCATTTCCCTGCACCCTAAATCTCTTTTAGGGAAGAAGTTAGCAGAATGTCCTTAACAGTGTTTGCTCACCTGTGGGTAGAAGGGACGTTGTGTCTTCACTCATCTGGCCCTCCGTGAAAAAGCTGCCATTAGCTTCTCTCATACAAAGGCCAAGTCCCATTTTCAAAAATGCCCAAGGGAAGAGAACATGTCCAGAGTTTCTAAATTAAAACACTAGGAAAATAAAACCCCTTTGCTTATGAAAAACAGTCGGAACAAGTGTTACTGAAGGAACTGGTGCTTAATTTCCAAGTTCCCAAAAGAAATAAAATTTTATTATTGGATCATGATCAAGAATTGGCAGGGTTGAAGATAGCACCCACCCTTTTACAGCAGGGGGGAGCAAGCTGAAGTGGCCCCTCCATGGCAAGAAAGACTCTAGAGCAGGGTTTTTTAATTCTTTTGTGCTACAGATCCATTTGAAAGTCTGGTGAAACCGACGGAGCCCTTCTCATAAATATGTATTTAAATGCTTGAAATAAAATGCATAGAAACAGATTGCATTGCAAAGGAAACCAACTTTGCTCAAATTCAGTTATCAAAATATTTTAAAAAGATAAATTACTTTAGATAGAGAGATTTATTGACGTTTACAAACATTTTTGGAGACTAGAGGCCATAAAGTACTAACGCATTGTTGATTGAAAAACTAAGTTTCGGGTAGAGATTAGTGAAAATAAAGTTGTAATGTTTTCCCCATCCAAGGTCAGATTGCTCCTGAAGTGTATAGACGCCAAAGGGATCTGTGGACTCAGATTAAGAACCCATGCTCTAGAGTATTGTGTATAAAAATGATTTCTGGATGGGGATGGTCCAGTAAACGGGTTCTAGCGGTACGTTTGTTTTTCCTGCTCTTTTAATCTCCCACCTGTATCTCCAGTTGGCTGAGGGTGTATTCTCTTCATTTGGAATGCATTGACAGAGATAACTTTCCTCGGTTTAAATTAACTTTTTAAAAAATGCCAACAATTCATTATGGCTTTTCATGGAGGAGGGTGGGTGGAAGCTGGTTGGCTGAGAACGTAATTATTATATAGTCATTTGTCATGAAAGATGTACAACCTCTCACTTGGAAGAGAATGTATTTGCTTAACCCTCTTCCAGAACGTGTTGTTTCTTTCCTATAAATGCAATTTTGCAAATATGGCTAAAGGCAAATTGGACCGGGGGAGTGGGGGAGAGATAAGCAGGATCCCAGTGGCTCATGCTATATTCTGGCCTGTTTCGTTTTGTTTAGATTTTTTTATCCCACCTGTCTTATTTTTATAAATAACTCAAGGTGGCGAACATACCTAACCCTCCTTCCTCCTCCTATTTTCCCCATCACAACAACCCTGTGAGGTGGGTTGAGAGAGAGGGACTGGCCCAAAGTCACCCAGCCGGCTTTCGTGCCTAAGGCAGGACTAGAACTCACCGTCTCCTGCTTTCTAGCCTGGGGCCTTCCCCACTAGACCAAACTGGTTCTTTCTCACTAAAGTGGTAACCCTTGTGGCATTTCAGGCAGTAGCTAGAAGACTGACACGATAGAATTTTTTTCCATATCATAAGTAAATATGCCACACCTCGCAAGCTAGCATACACTGGACAAGTGTCGCTAAGCAAGTCTAATTTTTCCACCCCAACAGGTTCGATTTTTATAGGTAGGGGTTTTTTATGCATACAACGAAGCGTTCATTCATGTGAGTCTCCTCCCTGATAGAGAAACGGTTCAGAGTGGTGGTTCTTTTCAGAGACATCTGAACCTTTTTTGCACTTGGACCACAGTCCTCAGCTTTGTGTTTGTAAGGCCCTCATCCCGTGACTTCCATGGATGTCACTGCTCTATTTTCTTGAAGGACCCCGGGGAGGATGCTGGGCTCACCACCTGCTGTAAATTCCCTTGCCGTAGATGAGATGTTTTCTGCAAATTGGCAAGGGATAGGCCGCTGTTGTAAAAGGCCGAATTTATCACAGGTTGCTGACCAAGGCTGGTGTGTGGAAAGCCTTCTTCTGAATCAAAACACAGCAGCACCAGATATGGTGAATGATGACTTTCAGCATTTCTAGGAGGCAGGCCAGTGGTGCAGGGTGCTGGGAGCTGTCATTAATCAGTATCTGGAATGCCACACTGTTGAATCAACCATTTCATCTGGCCATGTTGGGGGAGAGAGATGTGGAAAGGGGTTGATGTAGGTCAGGGTGAGCAATCAGTTGGGCTCCAGATGTTGACGCATGAGCACTACCATTAGGAGCGACAGTAAAGTCAGACTAGTAGTTGTTCCCCAATACCAGGAAGTTCACAGATGGCTCACGATTGAAGGAGTGATGGAAATGATGGAAATCGAACCCACTTCTTGAAGAAGGAATATGCTGTATAGGAATATAGCAGGAGTGTCCATGGGGATGGTAAAAAAAAAATCAAGATGGCAGCCGCAATGGCACAGTTGAAGCCCCGCCCCCTTTAATGTGCATTCTTCATTAAAAAGGGGTGGGCCTTTGACTGGCCACCATCTTGACCCCTTTGACCAACCCTGCAGATACCCCTGGAACATAGGAAGCTGTTTTATTCCAGACCAGAGTCCGTTTACAATATTTGTATCCTACTTAAGAGCCCCAAAGTCATTCCCTGGTTGTGTTCCCCCAACAGAATTTTTACCAAATTAACCAGCAGGTTTACACATACAACCTAACCTATTTAACCCTAACCAAATTCAGCATGTTTGTGTGAATGATATTCTTAAGCCTGGAATTGGCCTGGTTGGGTATGTTGTGTGAACACAACCTCTAGGTGGCTTCCAGATAGATGCTCACGATTACATCTCACACACCTGTTTCAGCACCATCTCTTGCCAATTCACGACATGGGTAAAATTATTACCTATTTCAGAAAAGCATAACTTAGAACATTTCTGGGCCTGGTCTGTTGACGTTGATCTATGGGCGCTGAAATCCAACATATCAGGTCATCCCCAGCTGGGACAGTGGACAATACCATTATCAGGAATTCCTAAACCTATTTCAGTAGGAGTGTTGTTTATATTTGTGTTATTGTGTATCCATGACCCTTGTTCCAAGAAAATTTACTAAACCTCCAAAAACTAAAGTAGCTCTATGTGTGTATGGGTGTTTGTGTATATGTGTGTTCTTAATTTGCAAATGCTAATATCTGTCTATCATTTGCTTCTGTCTGTAACAGTAATTTATAGCCTAATTGTGGAAAACATAAATAGTTTGGGAATGGTAAAGATATAAATTGTTCTGCAATGTCTGGTTTTTCTTTTCTTTTTTAAAAATAGTGGAACAAGAGAGACAATACCTTCCTGTGCTTCTTTTAGGCTATAATTCTCCATGTAATTCAGTGCCCTACTGTAGTTGAAATCAGGGTCCTGATGTTGTTGGAGTCTCAAAGTGAGAATTGGGATTACAAATTAAAATGGCGTTAGTGAAAATTTCACTTCTGCCTTCAACTATCAGGATCTTTTAGCAAACTCCACTGTTTTCTTTTTCTTTTTTTTTGCACACAGCCTCAGTACGTCATCTGCAAAATGGGTTTAGTATATTCTGCCTCGCTGTAAGGATTACAGTTCTGCAATGCAGATGAAGTGTTTGAAAGCAATTTTCAGGTGCAAAGGGGCTAGTGCAAGTAGTGATTTTTGCTCAGAGCGATCAGGTTGACAGACTTCTCTAGACAGCTATGAATCTTAGATTAGTTGTAACTCATTTTGTTCCCTTTAATTTCAACAGGAAATAATTATTTCAGAAAAGCAGCCTTAACAATGTGTAGGGCTGCAGACTGAAATTCCAGCCTTATGGAATTAAATTATTATTCAATTTCTGACCTTTTAAAGAATGGCTCAGAAAAAGATGCTAGAACGCAGTGGCGGAAATTAATTAATTAATTAATCAATACTAGCAGCATTGGCAAAATCCGGCCCAATATAGTCCAACCGACAACTGTGAATTCCCTTACATGTTCGAAGTACAGAAATCAAATTGTGAAATCCCCATCTGTTCATCATGATAATTATTTATAAGGTGCCATAATGTATGTGAGGAGCCATACAAAAAGGAAAACAAACGCAACAGCCCCCCCCCCATCCTAAAGACTTGGGATGTCTAAAATGTTTGCTCATGGTTTGAAAATCTTGGTGCAAATTTCAAATCATGGAATCATAGGTGTGACAGGGCAGGAATCTTCCGTCCATCTCAGAGAAAGGGCTGTTCAACCTTTACTTGAAAACTTGCAATGATGGGGTACCCATGTTTTCAGGCTGTTCCACATTATTTTTATTAGTAATAGTAGTAGTAGTACCCTAGTTATGTATTACTAGTCCCCTAGTTGGGTAATGAAATGCCTGCAAGCAAACCATCAAGTTCGGAGACCGCCAAGAGCTCTGCAGTTCAAGCCTGAGCTACGGAGATTCTCTTCCTTGCCGTGAAGCAATTTAGCGGGTTTTTTGTGGGTGAGAATGGGCAAATGGCTTGCTGTGGGCCACAGTTGTAGGGAGGGACTTAAATTCTCTATCCACCTTGCAAGCCACTGCAGTGCGCCTGCATTAAAAAAAAAAAAATGCATGGCCAAATGTGACATATCAAGAGTCTTGTGATGATAAAGAACAATACAGGGATTGGCATCCTTTTCTTAGCCTTTTTTTGGTGTTTCTGTTCTTAAGTGGGAAACTGACGATGCATTGTTCTGGTTAAAAGGAGTCCTTCTGGCTTTAAAAAACGGAAGAATTATTCCAAGTATAAGACGTATATTCTTACTCCTGTTTTGATCCACTTTTGTATTATGGTGACCACTGAAGCTCCTTTTACACTCATTTTCAGTTCTACTGGAGGTGTTTAAAACCTGGTTAGCAAGTTCTTCAACTGACTATCCAGATTTTATTCCAAGAATGTTGGAGGTAACTGAGGAGCACTTTAGTGCATTGAAGCGCATTGTTTCCTCATTCTGGTGGAGCTGTTATTTTAACTTTGGGCTCCATGCAAAGAACACTTGGTTTTGTAGTACAGCTAATTGCTCCTTGGGGATAGCCACCTCTTATTTTCAATTCAGCCATGTCAATAGATGAGGAAGAGGGTGGGATGAGCGTAGGGCCTGAACGAACAAAGACGTAGAACTTGGAAATCTGCGATCTGTGGACTTAATGTTGCGCAACCATGCAGATGATTGCCTTATGAAAGCTAGAGTCAACATCATGGTAAGCTTAAATCCACTCCTCCTCTTGTTTGTGTGCCTCTTTCTTTGAATTTCTGTATGCTAAATAAAGTGAAGTTTTCTCCTTTATTTTACTGATCCCCCCCTCCCGCAAAGACAGCCTCTTCATGAGCTGTTTTATTTCTCCTGATCTTCTTTATGAGCCCCATCGGTCCTTTGCTTGTCTCCTAATATGTCCTGTGATTTGAACCTGCTGTTTAGAATGTCCTTCTCGTCCAACCTTAACCACTATGGGATGGTCCATGTGGCCAGTGTGAGTGATGTTCTCCTGGACAGCTCTTTCACCCCACCGTGCCAGCGCATGGGAGGCATGGTTTCCTTCCGAACCTTTGAAGAATTCGTCCGGTAAGCAACGGAGGAGCACCAGCTTTGGGAAAGCATCGCTTCTGTTTTCCATCCCTTTTCTTCTCTTCTGCTTGTTCTGCCTGAATTCTTGTTCTTCTGCAATGCACAAGCCCCAAGTTAAGCTAAGTATTAAAAAGGTTAATTTGAAGGCAGGATTGGAAGGGCAGGGGGAAAAATACTAAGCTTAAGGGTGAAGGGATCTAGGGCAAAGCTGTGTTAAACATCTTATGAAACAAATGTTTGTTTCATGTTGAGGTTGTCTGCGTTGTCTGGGTAAAGGAAGGCACCAGCCTATGCAATTTGTCTTGATATAGCAAGCGTTTCTCAACCTTG